CATTAAATGGTTCTGGTTCCACAATTATTTTAAATAATAATTAAAAATAATTATTTTACTTTTGAAAAAGCACTTTAATTGGTAAACGAGTAAAACAGATGAAAAAAAATAAGTGCATTGTTTATTTTGAGATGCAACTAAATGGGATTGAATTTAAAATGTTTCCCTTATATTGTAATATTGGTTAGAAAAACATGCTTATATATATATATATATATATATATATATATATATATACTGTATATATACACACTTTTAACTTTATACATCATATTAAATGCATATTAAATATTTTATGATTTATGACATTCAGTACATGTTCTCTGTATAATGCTTTTTTCTTTTTCATACAGCATAAATGTGTCTACCTACTAGAAAATAAGCCATTTTTTATTTATTTATTTTTTTCCAAGGTGGTCATATTTAGGGGGTCCTTGATATTAAAAAGTTGGAAAACCAATTAAAAAAATCAAGCAATATTATTTTTTACTCTATTTGTTTATTTGTTGTTAATATTTAATTTTATTTTTTTAATTCTATACATATGGGATCTGGTTTTGAGCAAGAACCAGTTCTTGATTCCACACTACAGTATTTAGTTCTAGGACTCATAATGTCTATGACAAATTTGTGTGTGTGCGATTTTTGGCTTTCCCCTCAGTCTGCCAAGCCTTTAGTCAGAACTTTAAAATCTGTTAATTATGTCCTAATGAATGACCTAACTCAATGGCTTTGCGAATTTTGCTCCAGGCGGCGGTTACTAAATACTTTTACAGTAAAAGTGACCAAGCACACTGTAAATTCATTCAAATCCATTCGTTCCAGATGATGTTTGGTCACCGAGGATGGAGTCAGTTTGGATATCTCCCCTCAGGGCACGGTGACACCATATCACCTCTCGCACATCCTGGACTGATTAGTTAACCGCTCGTGTGTGTACGTGTGGTTGCACAACAGCGGGAGATTTCGACAGAATTTTTGTGTGCCGTTGAATGAAAATGGTGCGGAGTTCTCACGGTTCCGTCGTTGCCCCCCTCACCTCTCATTGGCTGCTCTGTTTTATCAGACAGACCTATTGCCCCGCCCTCACCACAGGGTTACCACTGGCAGTGAAACTGATGCTGCCCGTGTTTAAATATTTATTTCTGCTCATACTAGGGGGCCTGAGGCAGGCAGTCTCGATTCCCTCTCACTTTGTTTCTCGAGAGAGAGAGAAAATGTTGTATCTGTGAAAAATATTACCGTCTTTTATGTCCACTCGAACTCTTGCCAGGTTTATTCTTCTAAGATGTGACCTGTTCTCTGTGTTTGAGGCTAAAGGAACGCTTGCCTGGTCTGTCTCCACTTGAATAATGATTTCCTCTTCTTTATTTTAAAATTTGACATGCATTACATTTTAACATAAGCCATTCCGGTGAGCCTTCACTTATCTGATCCTGTCAGGTGGAATTTGCTGGTGGATTTCACGTGCCCAGGGGATGCACCATCATCCTTGGGTTTTAGTCACAACCCATTTGTTACTGTTCAGTTTCCACCCTGTGTGAGTTCGGTGTGGTAACGAGAGCATAGGAGTGCGAGACTGGAAAGCAGACGGCAGTAAATTTGGCCGAGTGGGTTTTGGTAGCTTGTTCACTAGGCTTGGCTCGGGTGTAGTACATTAGGCTGATGACTTATGATGACGGCTGGATTGAGCGCTCTCACAGACACTGCGGTACCTCCAGCCACCAGAGGGCAGCACTGCTGAGAGCACATGCTCACACATACACTTCTATTGTGTTTTTTCACAGCTGAAATAATGCTTTTGTGGTGTTTCTGCTTATTGCCCTCAATAAAACATAGGATAGAATGTATTCATGTGTTGGGTGGCAGTTCTATTAAAATGTTTTAATCAGTCTATTGAAGGAATAGTTCACCAAAAAATGAAAATATTGTCACCATTTACTCACCCTCATGTCATTCCAAACCCGCATGATTTACTTTCCTTTGTGGAAAACGTTGAATTTTTGACGTTTGATTATTATTTTTTATAATAATGATGAGTTGATTGAGGACAGGGACTGTCAAAAAGGATGCAAAAGCTCCATTTCATTATGATAAAACTGTCCCAAGTGGACTTGTTTGGTATATTCATGTCTTAGCCCTCAATTGGGTCATGGTCATAACTTTTACTTTACAAAAATATCAGCAATTCATATCAGTGGAATAAGATTTTGTGACTTTTCATACATTATCTATCTATACACACACAAAAAACTGGGCTTGATTCGGTTGTTCTGGAGGTATGTAAAAAAAAAAATGTTTACACTTCTGGTCTTTGGGGCCAATATGACCTCACATTGAAATGAATGGGAAATATGGAAAAAAAAAAAAACCTAAATATATATTTTCTTCATGGGTCAAAAAATAAATAAATAAATCCGGCATAAATCTGAGAATTTTTACATAGAAATGAAGGCCTAGTACTAGAGCATAAATGCAATGTATCATAAAAAAATAACATTTCAAATGCTAATGCTAAACTAATTGTGTATTTGAGGAATTGTGTGGTATATGGATACAAAAGTACTTTATATCTCCAAAAACACAGCATTAATGAATAGATGAGAAGTAAACGAAAAGATGATATATTATTTGTATGATTAAAAATGTATATTTTTTGTACAATTACTCAATCAATTGTTGGGGTCGTAAATACCCCGAAGCCCAGAAGTGTAAACAGGAAACGAAGACCATTTAAAGTTTAAGATTTCAAAAGTTTAAGTTTAAGTTTAAGATTTAATTTCTCAGCCACAGCCATACCACGCTCTAGCCCAAGACTGAAGCTACTGTAAGCAGGGTTGAGCCTGGTCAGTCCCTGGATGGAAGAGCTTCTGGGAAAACCTGGTTGTTTCTGGAAGAGCTGTTAGTGAAGCCAGCAGGGGGTGCAGCGTCCTTTGGATAAGACGTTAAAGGGGTCATGAAATGGCTTTTTGTTGTTGTCTGAGGTCAACTTATGATGTTCGCTTTGTTTTTACAATAAAAAACATCAAAATAAATAAGTAAATAGGCTATTTTCTACCCTAGTGTTTAGCCTAGCTCAAAAACGCTCGGTTTTTATGGGCGTTTCGCATTTAAGGCTTGGAAGTAAACACCCACTGCTGTGAGTGGATAGCAGTTTTGCATATTATAATGAGTTTCATTCTCGATCCGTTTTGTCATCACGAGGTAGGCATCTATGTTATTTAGCTATGCGTGAATGCGCGAATCGGTGGGCGGGGCTAAACCGGCCGCTTTGATCTTCATCTTCTGCGGGGGTGGTGTTTTATCCTCTTTGACGTCACAGTTCCCCACTTTGGGGAAAAAACGAGTCGTTTGTTGAGCCTGGTGTCAATAAAAGCTTTTATTGGACTAACAAGGATGTTTTCAGTTCTGAAACGTACAGGATATTCTTATAATATGATGACCTCGCTCTTAGATGTCAAAAGCTCAAGGAAAATTGTATTTCTCAGTTCATCACCCCTTTAAAAGCGAGGTCCTGACTCTCTGTGGTCATTAAAAATCCCATAGCACTTCTTGTAAAAGAGTAGGGGTGTTACCCCGGTGTCCTGGCCAGATTCCCTCCATTGGCATTTGTCAAATCATGAGCTTCTAATAATCCCTATGCACTGAATTGGCTCCATCACTCGCTCTCCTTTCCGTATCCACCTATAGCTGGTGTTTGGTGAATTTGCGCACTGGATTTGTACTGTGGCTGCCGTTGCATCATATAAGTGGATGCTGCACACTGGTGGTGGTGGTGGAGGAGGCACCCCCTGATATATAAATGCCTCATTTATTTATTTATTATTCTCATTTCTCACACAGAAAATCTGCTGTGGCACTTCATGACTGAAGTAGCGATGTCCAATTTGTGAATGAATCACTCTTTTGAGTCAGTTCTTTACAAAGTTGTTGACAAAACGGGTCTAAATGATTTGTTCATGAATCAGACTCATCCGGTTGACAAGTTTAACTCACTGACTGAAGAACTCAATCATTCTTTTGTGTCAGATCTTTATATATCATGAATCAGACTGATAACTGGTTACAACAGTTAACAGGACTTTGTGACTTTATCAGTAAATAATGCCTTAAATCGATTATTTTGCACAAATCTCTTGTGATAACTTCATAGGACTTGGATTAAAGTGCATGAGTCATAAATTTTGCTTCATTTGTGAAGCTCGAAAAGGATTTTTAGTGAACTATTTTTGGATTTGATTCTACGCAGAAGTATCTGTAGTATGGATGGAACAAAAGCTGATGAAACACAGAGCAGGGAAGGATGGATAAACATAGAGAACAGACGAAGGAGACTGCACAGATCGCCGCCCAAGGCCTACGCAGTTTCCTGCGAGAACAGAGATTTCAGAGAGTCCCGGGGTGAACCGCAAGCGGTCGAGGAGGCTGTGAGAACCGCTTTGAGCCAAGTCGCTAAACCTTGCCTTCCATGGAATACATAAACCTGCCACGCCGTTTGATTTATCCTCCTCATTCACTCGCTCCTGTTACTCCGAGTTATAAACATCGTGTGGAAATGGATGGAGAGGAGGAAAGAAAAATCACAGTCAGAAACAGAGATCATCCACCTTTTCAAAACCGAAAGGCAGTGAAATAACTCTAGGGATGTGATGTATGATAAACTTCACCGTGACGTTATGTAGTTAATTTATCTGGAGTCACACACACTCACACACTGGAATTCTGGTCTTGCGTTCATCATTTGACCCTCTGTCTTTGAATCTATTATATGAATTAACTCTTAACTGTTTTTTCATGGTATTCCCCATGGTTTTAATCTCTTTTTGGACACTCATTTTGTCCATGCACAAATCCGTTTGTGTCCCCGTGTGCTTCGCTCTTGACCTGCTGTGTGTACACTCAACATATTTGTTTGCGTTCTGTCTTATCTGACGTTTCTGTGGGATTATGTTTTTTTATTGTTCATCAGCACAAACATGTTTATTTGTTTGCATGGACAGATGGAGGAGCTGTTGGCCGCCATGGAAAAGGTGAAGCAAGAGTTGGAGTCCATGAAGGCCAAGCTGTCGTCCACCCAGCAGTCCCTGGCGGAGAAGGAGGCTCACCTGACCACGCTGAGGGCAGAGCGCAGGAAGCACCTGGAGGAGGTGCTGGAAATGAAGTAAGACTTTACTCCTGTCCTTCACTCCTCATGGCCTGATACTGCGATTTTGTTGCTGTATGGCTCATATGTTCAATTTCAATTTTTTAGGGCTGTGCAAAAATGAATTGCGATTAATCGCATCCAAAATAAAAGTCTGTGTTTACATGATATATTTGTGTGTGCTGTATATAATTATTTTGTATATATAAATACAAACACATGCATGTATATATTTAAGAAAATGTGTTATTCATATATAAATTATTTATATTTATATAATATAGATTATGTATATATATATATTTACAAAAATTTAAGCGCAAATAATTCTTAAATATATACATGCATGCATAGGTATTTATATATACAAAATAATTATATACATTTATATAATTATAAATATATATTTCGGACGCAGCTATATTCTATTTCACATTAATATGCATTGAATACTACATACTATTTTTTTCAGAACGGTATGCATCTTTTAATTGTATGCAGTTTACATTGTTCATCCTTTTTTTTTTTTTTTTATTTTTTTTGCAATGCTGTTTTTTTCTTGTGATTATTTGTTGCACCATTTTCTCTCAACTTTTCCTTGGATACCCTGTTGCTCCTTTGATCCCAGTTTGAAAATTCTTGCTCCAGGTATACAGGAATGATTTTTTCCTAATGCACTAGGTCCATGGAGGGACCGTGTGCTCTCGGGAGGCTGATGGCTTTTGAGTGCTTCTTTATTTCAAACTTTTCCTCGTCAGACTGATCTCTCCAATACAAAACTTCAGCAGAATCCAAGGACCCTCTCAGTTCTCCCACAGCATTCGCACAACTCTCTTGTCTTTTCTCACTATCTCTTACAGGATTTTTTGCTGCTCTTTTGCTTATCAGTGGCGGTGGCACTTTAATGTTTTGAGCACTTCCTGACTCTAGATAGGGGTAAGAGGAGTACTAGAGTAATATATGAGGTTGAAGGTCTCCATACCATAATTGAATCAGGAGTCAATGAAGGTGGTTCTTCAAGGATCCCACCTAAATGTCTTGAGCTTAGAGGAGGAGTTACAGAAAAGAGGCTCTCGGCCCTCTCACTTTCTAATTGATGTGGCTCCATTCAGATGGGTGTGGGCTCTAAAGATAAGACATTGACTTCTGCCTTATAGGGTCGGAATATGTCATTAAATTTGATGCTCACTTCAAGCGTTAAGTTCACTTAAGAGTTATAGGCATACATCTAAGAGGAATGCTGTAAAGATAACATATTTTTTTCAGTAAAGTTTGGTAGCACTTTAAAGTTTAACATTAGTTTGTGCATTGACAAAAATAGCATTTATCAAGATTAACATTAGTATATCATTGTCTTAAAATTGTAAATTTAAATTCAACTTAAAATTTTTGAAATAAAAATGAAAAAGTGAAATTAAATACTTTCTATTTATTTAGAAGTAAAAATGACAAAAAAGAACTAGAAATGTATGTTTATGTACAGTCAATATTACCGTTACGATTAAAAATGCTGTAAAAGATATTAAATGCATATTGATGAAATGTGTCGATGAATTGATGAAATCTTGATGTAAAGTGTTACCAAAAAATATTTTTAATTAATTACGGTACATGACTTGCCATGAATTGCATGTCCATATTTTCTGAGAAAAGTCCCCAGTGAAGGTATTTCGGGGTCATTACATTACTGTCACAGATGAAACATTGAATAGACAAAAAGTGGCTCGAGAAAGATTTTATTCCTTCATAGGCGGTGACATTATTTTTCGGCCTCTTTTAAACATCCACTACTGTATACTATCCTCACAGGGCTATTGTTTTAGATTTAATATCAAGCGAGTTCAGAATACTGATTGTGGTTGTGGAAAAATGAGTCAGAATGGGATTTTCAAGGACACTGTGTTTTCCAGATTGGCGTGGTGATTTGATTGTCAGCCATATTCTCAGAGACACGGATGTGCGTGCATGCTTGAGTTATGCTACCGATGGATTCTGGCAGTAAAAGAAGATAAGGAGAAGGCTGAGAAATGATGGGCGTCTTTATCTAGGTGTAGTGTAATGTGTTTAAATTAATGCTGTGCACCGATTCCCAAAGAGATCATTTTGCCCCATAATATGAAAGAGAAGGAGGGCCCCATTGCATCCAAATTTGGCTGTTTAATCCAGAAGGTCAGCTCAACTGACACAGAGAGCGTTGTGTATCTCCACCGGCCTCTCACTAACCACACATTTACAAAAAAACGTCTTGTATTTGAGTGAAAATAAGGCTCTGATATGGATGGAGGAGAGAGAGAGGGGTGGTCTTCGATCTGTTTTGGCGATGAACGTAATGCGGTCGGGGCCGGAGAAAGTAGACTCGTGCTGCTGAAGGGGCCCCGCCGGCTGGCAGCAGACAACCAACTGGACCACTCATTAAAATTTCGAAGGAAAAACACAAAATAGCAGACGCAGAGGTCACAGACTTTTTATTTATTTATTTCCTCGGGCTGAACTTCCGACCGCACAGTTTAAAGTCAGCAGCGTGGAGACATCGAACCTTTGGGCTGGTTCTCCATCCTCAACATCTAAAAAAAGGCAGAATTACCACTCTTTCAAGGCTCGTTTTTGCCCAATGTTTTGCAAAGGACATTAAGTCAAATCTTTAGTCAGTTGTATTTGTATATGTTGTGTTTCTGCCTTCAAAGTTGAATCTAAATGGGTTGGCTCTCCCAAAAATGCAAATTGGTGTGGTTCACTTACCCTCATGTTGTTTCAAACCTTTATGAGATGTTTAGAAGAGTGTCCACGCTGCTCTTTTTACACTTTTTCCACACTAGAGACTTGCAGGCTAAAAAAAAAAAATGGATGAAAAGCATAATAAAATGACCTATATATCAATCATTTGATATGTAAGAAGAAAAGACTAAAATTTGAATATGCAATTTGAATTTGAGGTAATTTGCATATAAGTGCATTTGAGATTCAACAGTTTCAGTGGAGGGGAAGATTGTCAATGAATAATGGCTGTCGAATAACATTTGCTCTTTCACATACTCAAATTGCCGCATTGCGTTTGGTTACAAGATGCACAAAAACAATGGTGTCTGGTTTTATTCACAGAACTTGAATGTCGCAACTTCACGCATCATATATAAAATATGTGCAATAAAGTGCAAATTAAGGAATGTATCCTTATTCGGATCAACTTCATGAAATGTTAATTCATTTACAGCTTACACAACTTTTAGCTCATTAATCATGATCTTAAAGCTTTTGTGAACCACCGAGGCAAATGAAGACCACAGTGAGGTCATTATTCAGATAAAACTCACTGAATGTAACCAGCAGTGAGAAAGACCATTATGAGGTCATCGCTCAATTAAAATCTAAATGGACTGTCAATGAGGGTCTTTGATAATGCATAGAGGTGGATTCAAGCTGTGTTGGCGCCAAGTTTTATGAACGTAACTGTGATGTACGCAGTGTGGTACTTACATTCTGGCTTGTTTTGTGGAATGAGATGAGGATTTAGAGCGATGGGTTGAGACGGTAATGAGATCTCCAGCACACCATCCCATCCCCATGTTTCCTCTCCATTTAGCACAGTTTAAATGCCCCCGTACTGCTGGATATGAGATGTGGTGATAGCCCAGTGTTCTTTCATTTGATGTGGTTTCCTTCTCTCGTTCACTCTTACTTCCACCGGCTCACGTTCTCAGCTCGGGAAAGTGCGACCGCAAGGCAGACATCAGTCGTCTCCCTTTGAGCAAATGTTTAACTTTCTTTCTGCAGTTGTTTGGGAGTGCTGGACATTTTGGAGCGCCCGCTTGAGAGGTGGATGATGATAGAAGGGTTGATCTTGATCAAGAGGGCCTCCTCAGATGTTCGCTCAAAGGCATTAAGCCACTTGTCCGTATTTTAGGACTTGAAAAGAGCTGTCGCCACCTTTGTGGTTTTTACCTTGCGTCTTACTATGAAACACAAGCTCTTGCTTAGTTTTGCAAAGTTCTGGTCCACGCAATTAGATCTGCCCACTTAGATAGGAAGAAAACATCTATCTATCTATCTATCTATCTATCTATCTATCTATCTATCTATCTATCTATCTATCTATCTATCTATCTATCTATCTATCTATCTATCTATCTATCTATCTATCTATCTATCTATCATCTATCTGTCTGTCTGTCTGTCTGTCTATCTATCTATCTATCTATCTATCTGTCTGTCTGTCTGTCTGTCTGTCTGTCTGTCTGTCTGTCTGTCTGTCTGTCTGTCTGTCTATCTATCTATCTATCTATCTATCTATCTATCTATCTATCTATCTATCTATCTATCTATCTATCTATCTATCTATCTATCTAATCTGTTTGTCATTCCTAAAATTTTCAAGCTAGACTTTGTAAAGCTGCCATTCCAGTTAAATATTACAATTACATTCTATTGGTTATAATTTTACTTCCTTATAACTGAATTCGGGTTCTTGTTTGATTCCTCAATTCAGATGTAGGAATTGAACTGGAATATAAAAGGTAAACTCTCAATTTTGAATTGTGAACAACTATCCCGTTTTAGGGTGGGTTTATCTGAAATAAGTTGTACTACAATAACAGACTGTGCAGAGATGTTAAATAATGGTTTAAATTTAAATAATGGTAAAGTAGTTGTTATTTTTGCACAGACTTAGCACAGTAAAACTTGTACTCTTAATCCAGGAAGTTGAATTTTGTCAGCCAATCAGATTAGAGCAAGAATGGGCCTTTCAGGTTTACACGCGGTCCCTGGACTCTTGCATAAGCTGCATTGGTTTGCCACTTACCCTTACTGTTGTAGATCGATATCACTTTAAAAAAGAAATCCCAACAGCTCATGTCACGACTGGAGCTGGATCTCCGATGGGAGTCCAATTATAAGGTTTGAGCTTAAGTCCAGGTACGAGGGGAGTGTTTTTCCGAAGGTGTTTAAATTGACACGGGGTGATTGCAAGGCTATCGGCTGCCCACAAAGTCTCTATTTGAGGGCAGGGTGAAGCTGCTAAT